GCAGGAGCCGGCCTTGGCCGTGCGGATACGTGTGGTTTGGTGCGCGGTTCGGAACCGCCTTTCCGAGCCCGGCATTGGGCTGCGTGAGGAGCCCCGGCGGGCGGGAGGCAGGAGCTGACACTGGTTTGTTGGTGTGATTGGTTTATTTGGCACGTCGGTCTATAACAGAGAAAGTGGAAATCTTTCACATAGGAGGTGGATTTTGTTGCAACTCTTGCAATATAGGTTTGCTGAATGGAGACTTTCTTCCCCTCCTCTCCTAGAGGATTTGAGTCCCATTTGGTATTCTTTACTCCCCGTTTTCCCAGGAGATTGAAATGTATGCTGTGCATCTCCTAACATTTGAACCACCTTGGCCAGCTTTCACACCAGGTGTGGTGATTCTCAAAAGCAGCAATTTCCACAGGGTTTGTGAAAATACACAGCTACAGGGATAACGGGGCACCCTGGCTATACCCCAGGGAGGGAAAATGACCTTTTATTAGAAATCTGTTTTACAGCAGCTCTTTTGGGTGAGGATTCCCTGGTGTCCATGAATTCTGCTTGTGTTGGAGCTGCTTGTTACCTGCTGTCCTCTTCACCTTTCTCCTACATATATATACAAATGCATACGCTAAACTGGCTTCATGTTAACAGCCTCTGTTTCTTTCTTTTATTTCATTAAATAGAGCTTGCTTATTAAATTTGTATGTGAAATCTCTAGTCTTGGATCTGTGCCTTTAAATAAATAAAGCCAGATCCTGTCTTGACTTACTGCCTTCTCCTTCCTCCCTTCCATGTGATTTATGGTAACATTTCCATTGGATTCTGTTCAGTGTTGAACTTCCTTGCGGTTTGATTCTCCCTTTTTTACTCGCAGTTTTTGCTGGTGGGCCGTGTTCCTGTCAGGGGATCTGCACTGCTCAAGCAGTGGGTGCTTTTAGTGGGTTTTACGAGCACCCTTAGCATCATCTGAAGAAAACCCCGAGCTGTGATTAGGAACTGGCTTTTGCATCTGGGGAGGTGAAAACCAGCTCCCAGCAAAACGCTGGCCGTGATCTCGTTGCCATGCCAAGCCTGAGGCTGCCCATCCTTCACATCCATGTCACCCACCTGGAAATCTGCTCTCCTAGTATTAACACAGCTCCTTGTAGAAGAGTTTTTCAAAATACCGTGCAAAATTATCCAGTATTGTATGTAAAAGTGAAGGAACAAGGAAAGCCCAGCAGAAGGGCAGAGATGCTGCTCTGGGGAGGCCGCCAGCGGCTTTGGGGTGCTGAGCCCTGGTGTTTGCAGTAGCTGTAACGCAGAGGTTGCTGGAGCTCGTCCTTGTGACAAGGGGCTCTGTGTTAATGTCCTGGCCTTGCTCAGCAGAGCTGCAGTTTCCAGCGAGATGCAGACCTCCTTGCTCTTCCTTACGCAATGTTTCTGAAACGCAAAGAGAATTTTGGTCTCTTTTTGTTGTTATATGCCTGTCCTCTCACAGCTTTTGTCTGGATTTAGTTCAGTGCATATAACTGCTCAGCGAGCTCTAATTCCTGAGGATAGGGACTGCAAACGAGATTTATTTACTAGCTCCAGATAGAAACACTTGGTCACTGGCTCAGCTGAACTGATGCCAATGTGAGTTTGGCTTTTTTCTTAGCTTTATTATTGGGTGCGGGGAGGAGGTCGCTCGTGGCCCTGTCGTGCCTCGCCATGGAAGCAGATGATGCAGATGCCCAACGGAGAGGCTGGAGCACCTGTCCCTGCCTGCTGGCAGCTGCAGGGCACGCTGAATCCACCTCGTCGAGACTTCTAGGGCAAAACAGCACTACAGGGAATAGCGTTTGTCACAAGGTGGGATCAGGAAAGAACATGGATGTCAGCCTTTATTGCAAGAACGTTGGATAATTTAGGTGAAAATGTGCAGAACTGCTCTGAGAGCCAACCTTTCCTTGCACTGGACAGGAACGATGTTCTAGCGATCTCCCTTCCGTCCCACGTGGGCGTTTGAAGGAGAGTGCCTTGAGACTCCTGCTCTTCTGCTGGTCCTTATGGCTGCCCAACCCAAGACTGAAAAGTCAATAAGAGCTTCTCTGCAGCTGCTTGGTTGCCATTTTAAGAAAAGAAGTTGAAGTAGCCAACCCTGAACTGGATTTAAGCTTCTGAGTGATTTTTCCACTTTTTTTCCTCTTATACCCTTTTATTTAGGTAGAAAAAACTTTATAGCTCTCCATTTTCGAGTTAGTGTAAGCTTTAGAAGCTTTCAAAGCGTTTTCTCTCTTTGGATGATTCCTAGACAATTGTCTCCCAGCCCTATTGTCTCGCAGTAACTGAGGCAGAAAATTCCAAGGCAGCCTTTGCTCCCTGCCCGCTGGGAAGAGCCGCCCCGGCAGGGTGATGCTGTCTGTCCAGAACGGCCCGTGCTTGGCTTGGGTGCAGTTATGTGGCCCATATCGAAATGCTGCCTCGGAGCCGGCTGCTGGGGACAGTGTGGCCCGGTACGCGTGGGACTCCTCTGGTCTATCAAATTGTAAAGCATTTCTAACGTGCTGTTTTTGGAACATTAAGTACCTGTAAGCATAAAAATGGCTTTTGAGGTTGTGTTGCTGAAGTAAAACACTTCCCATTTTTCCTTTCCTCAAGTCTAAATTAGCAAAGTTATGGGTTAAGTTACTTTAAAGTAACTTACTTCATTAGCAGTACTTGTTTTGTTTCTTTCTTTTTTTCCTATCCTCTTTCCTGACACTCCCTTGCTGCTGTCCTGCAATGTGCCTGAGTTCATGTTCTTCCCTGAAGTGCCCTCCATAAAGGTGCTGCCTTGAAGTCACCGCCTGTTTCCACAGTTTCCCTTTAAGAAACAAGAAACTTGCCCATGCTTTTCCCAGCCCTCTTCCAGACTGAGCTGAACTTGGCCAACCAGTTCCAAAATGCTGGGGATGAAGGAGCCCTTGGACCTTGTTTGAAGGGAGTCTGACTAAAGTAACCTCGGAAACAAAACTGATGTGCAATCCGTACAGTTTCCAAAAGATGTTTTATTTCAGTAGCTACGTTCGTGGTGAGGCTCTTCTTTTTGCCGTTTCCCAGGTGGTAGTTTCAAGTGAAAGCTCAGAGTATGAGGCAATGCAATAGGGGAAAACATACATTTCTACTAATTTTAGAGTGTCCTCCTTTGCTTGAGATAAAGGCACATGCTTCTAATTACCACATTGTGTGCTAGGCTTTATGTGAAAATGTAACATGTAAAAATGTCCAGGAGTGGCTGGGCTGGTGCGCAGAGCCCATTGCTGCTTGTTAGTGGAAAGCTCTGCCCCAAATGTTCTTTTGTTCAGCCTAATTTGGGCCAGATTTGTGGGTTTGGGGGACGTGGTGTTTGTGTGGCTTCTTGCAAGGGGTGTGCTACGTTAATGTGTAGGTTTGCACTGAGCTTTATGAACTTGAAGCTTTGTTTGAAAGCTTCTCTGTGACGCTTTAATTCTCAAATAATGCATTCGTACCCTTAATACGCTTTGCAGTTGTTAGTAATTGAAAAGGATTTGCCTTAAACTGCCCCTCCTGTCAGCCGCTTACGTGCGTGGTGTTCGCAGCTGGAGAGCGCCGGAGCGGAGCTCAAGGATGGGCAGCACCACTACGAGGGGGCCGTGGTCATCCTGGACGCCGGGGCGCAGTACGGCAAGGTCATCGACCGGCGCGTGCGCGAGCTCTTCGTGCAGTCCGAGATCTTCCCCTTGGAAACGCCGGCCTTCGCCATCAGAGAACAAGGGTTTCGGTAGGTTATTTTGCACGTGAGTCTTTTGCGGGGGGGGTTTCCCTTTTTTCGGCATAATGTTACCTGTGGATGCTAGTAGCTTTGCTAAACGCTGCTTCGTGCGTGTCTGCTGTTCCTGCTGTAACGATGCTCATACTTGCATCCTTAGCATGCTCGCAAAAAATGCTTGAGTACTGCTGGGGAAACTTATTGGCCACAGAGTTTATATGTGTCCTTTTTATCACTTTCTGTTGTAAATATACTTTTAAGAGGTCATTTCTTAAATAAAGACTTGTAAAAACGTCATCAATGAAAACCCTGCTTTAGCTAACAGTTACACTAAGTTGTCTGGAAAACAAGTTTAGTGAGTTTTTAAAAAGTTGTGTTTTGGTGGTGGGGGGGGTTGTTTGTTTTTCTTTTTTTTTTGAATTTTTCTCTGGGAAAATTAGATGTTTAAGTAATCTTTGATTTGCATACCAGAGACATACATTATGCTGACCTGTTTCTCAGAAATAAGCTTAAAAAAAACCCCACACTCAGACGCTGAAACTGCCAGGCATTGTTCGCAGTTTGCAGCAAGAAAAGGTCTTGCAGTTATTTAGTGCTTTGTATGCCTTTTTTCCCCTTGCCTTATTAGGCTTCTCAAGGTATGTCTGTGTGTGTGAGGGAAAGTAAATGCCCCGAAGTCTGCAAAGCGTCGCAGACCTTGCTTGTCAGTTCAGTAAAACTCTAGTAATGCACTGCATGTGCACTCCCTGCTGCTCTGGCAAACTGAGCCTGCAATGTTTGGGTTTTTTTGTGTGTGTGTGTGTGTGTGTGTGTAGAATTGTGTTTGTAATTCCTGCTTACACCAGGACATGGTGTATTTTAATGAGTCAAATAGGAACTTAGGGAGCTCTTCCAAAAACAGCTATAACATAGAAACCCCAGATAATATAGAAAACCCAGGAACTCCTGAATCTCAGGTAGCTGTTGCAATGTTTTCTTTTCAAAAATGTCCTCCAAAATAACTTTGGTTGGCTTTATCGTTCTCCTGTAGTCAGGTCTTTAAGAAGTGGGCACATTCCTGCCCAGGAATTCCTGCCCCTGTGGTTTGTTGGGTTGGGTACGTGGAGCTTGGTGCTAACGGCACGGCACGGAGCCCCAGAGCTGCGTCAGGGTCGGGTTGCAGGGAGAGACTCTGTGCCTGTCTGTTTACAGCTGGAGGTTTCTTCTCAAGTTCTCAATTACAACTGTTGGATTCAAGTAATTGGTTTATAAAATGGGCAAAACGCTTTCATTCAAAAGCTCATTTTTCAAAGCAAAGATAGTGCTTTCAGCTGAGCAGTTATCTAGATCGGTCAATAAGCTCTGTAACCGCAGTCTCAATCAGTCACTTGCATCTAGGGAAGATCAACAAATATTAAAGACAGGCACCTGGTGCCCTTTTTAGGCACCTCTGTAAAAATGAGTTAATGGTTTCACTGCAGCATCTTGCGTGTTCCAGATGTCCCCAGAGTGCTTGGTTTCCCTATTGCAGCCCTTGGCATCCAGGGCACACTTTGAATGGAGCTAGGAGCTGCACTGTGCTCTGTGCCAAGGTTTAAGATATGCAGAAAGGTTAAAACTTTTGCTGAGCTGTATTTACATGTTGTATTTAAACGTCTCCATTTCTATCAATACGGAACAACCTCTAGTGACAGATTTTATCAAAATTAGCAATTTCCATAAGGTGCCCATTTTGAGCAGAGGCTGTGGAACCAGTGGTGTTACTCCATAAATTCTGATACAACTCCAAACCTTGACATGAGTCCAGGTATCTGTAGGCCAATGAATGTATTCTACTGTAAGTGCTTTGATGTGCACTTAAGCTATCTAAAATGGACTTTCCAACATTAGGTAAGATAGATTTGGAAGTGGATGAAGCTAAACCAGAGAAAAAGTGTATTGGTATGGAAGCAGGGCTGCGTGCAGGATGCTGTATGGTTTTGTGATGAAACTGGAATCTACGTCCCTTGCTGCTGAAACCGCTCACGTGGGCAGCTGAGACGATGCAGGTGCTGTCCCTGCCCTGTCTTTTCTGTGCTCCTCGGGGAGATGAGATTGCCTCTCTGTATTCTGCAGAATTCAACTGGTGCAGAAAAGCAAGTTTTAAGCCAATTCTCTTATAGGACAGCATCTAATTATTTTGACTTCTTTAGCCTGAAAGCCTTATAAGATAAGCTCCATTTCCTTCGTTTAAAGTTAAATAATGTTCTGTGTGTATGACACTTAAGTCCATATACTGAACCATTTGCCTTTGGGAAGCAGTCATCACGACAGCCCGAAGACTTTTTTTTTTTCAGACTTTCTAGCAGATTCTGAGTTTAGGAAATCCCTGGTGTGTCTTGGTGGAGCAGGGGCCGCCCGGGTGCCTCCCGCGGCCGCGCGCGCTCGCGGAGCGTTTGCTGCGCGCAGCCGTGTTGCTGCATGGTTGCGTTCTGCCAGTGCTCACAGATGTACATGCATGACCCATTTCTGTTGGTTAAAAATATTTTTAAAAAGCTTTTGTCAGTACTTGCTTGACAGGCGCTTTAAATAGCACTAGGAAAAGTTTTATTACATCTGTTAAGGCTCATTCTCCCTCCCCCATTTTGCATTTCTCACTTTGAGTAGCGGATTTACTGTTCTTGGTGAAATAAACAGTTCAAGGTCTGGTACACTAATGTTCAATCCTGGGCCTAGGCCAAAAAACATTGCTAAACTAACCAATACTTGTGCAGTTCAGTATTTTGCGAATCATCATGGTTTGCAAATGCTGTCTCTTCCCCTTTGGAAAGATGCGATCTTGTGTTATAGCGTGAGGTGTTAATTTCAGACCTTAAGTGCTCGCAGAAATTGGGCTTTCAAGACCCAAGCTACAGCCAATTTCATCTTCCTTTGCAATCAACATGGATTAGGGGCCATTTTATCAACAGTTCTGGAAATTCAGGACCCTGCCTGTGAAAGCATCTCCTCCGAGTGGTACAGACCTCGCAAAGGTTGTATGTGTGTGTATGTAAATAAGGGTAATAATCCACGCTCTGTACTAGCCATCTCACTTCTCACATAGCCAACACCTAGCTAAGAGTTTTAAAAATGCAGTTGTGTTTTAATGTGGCTTATATTTGGCTTTGATTGAACTGATGAAATACTTCTCTAGCAAGTAGCTGTTTTTTAACCAGTTGTAGCATCACAAACTTACTACATTTTTAGTAAGAACTGAAGTATGCAACATTTAAAGTGTTACAACACTTGATGTCAGTTTTTAATAACATGAGAAGTTTTTAAGGTAAATAATATGTTTGAATTAATTTTTTAATAATCTTTTGTCTGCAGAGCTATCATCATATCTGGAGGACCAAACTCTGTGTATGCAGAAGATGCACCATGGTTCGACCCAGCAATATTTACAATAGGAAAACCAGTTCTTGGGATTTGCTATGGCATGCAGGTGCTGTGCAGAGATATGTTTGACTGTGGGAGGCTTTTAGGTCTTTTTTCTTAGCTGAAGTTAAACTGTGAAGGCTTTTCCAACCACGATGATTGTGATTGTATGCCAAAGGACTTGCTTTTCACATATATGCACTTGCCATAAGTAAAGGTACTTTTAAGTGCTAGTTGACAAACAGAGCAAGCTGTGTACTCTTTTCTTGGTTCTGCCATATAAGCAGCATAAAATTATTGTTTTTTTGTTTTGTTTTTGTTTAACTGCTGCTAATTTTGACTAACACTGTGCCTTTTTTGTCACACTAAATGTACTGTGGCACTCATTCGCTATTTTTTTTTCTGTTTGGTATTGGAAAATGTTCCCCTCTTAAACAATTGAAATGGTTTGTCCCTTTGTTTTTAAATGTAGAATGTTTCTAATGCATTTCTTAAGAGTACTAAAAAAGCCCCACAAAAATAAAACCCTTCAGATTTCACTTAAATTGGCTGCTGACCCCTCAATAGCATAGCAGATCCAATCTGAGTGGGAAAAAACAGACTTCCAGAGGAACAAAAGGCAGGTTAGAAGCAGGACTTCTACTTGTGCTTTTTGTTTGTTTTTTTTTTTTTCCCCTCGGGGGTAGCAATTTCCTAGGCCTTCAGAGGTGCTGAATAATGGTGGAAAAACTTCTTTAGCAAGGCTGGTAATTATGGAATCAGTTTTGGCAGTGCTTGCTCTAAAGAGAAATGTGTGCAGTATTAAAGTAGAACTGCCTTAAATTGTCCAGCAAGTCCCAAAGCACCCTAGTTAGCTGAGGGGGGTAGCTCCTCAAGCCTGGCTTTACAGGCACAAATCAAATGTGTTCAGTGACAAACTGCTGCTTCATTAGAAAAGACTGAAATCTGTCGAGCACAGTGGGTGTTATTCTAGATCTAGTGTGGCAATATTCCTTAAATCTCTTCAGGGATTAAACATTTTTAAGCATTTTTAGAGTTTCCCCTTCCTACTGCTTTAGATTATCTGTTGCATTTGTAAGGTAAAAATCTTTGAGACTTTTGAAACCTAAAATGCAGATACTTCACCTTGTTATAGCTTGATTGAGAGTTGTTCTACTCTGATTAAGTGGGGATTGAATAAGAGTCTCTGGTCTCAGAAATAAAGCTTTAAAAAAAAAAAGGGGGACTTAGGGTTTTCAACTTGTTATGTAGAGCTACGTAACCAGATCTTGAGGAATTTATTTTACCTGGGGGCACTTAACTCTAGTACAGCTAAATCAGTTGTTTTCTTCTCAGCAGCTTGCCCATTTTTATGACAATTCGTCCTAGACACTCTGCTCGCTTGTAGAGTGGCTGTTTGTCAGTGCAAGCCCATGCACACAGTCGAACATGCACAATCCAGCAAAGCTCTGCTGCCTCCTCCACGTTTGTTATTCATTGTCTGCAGCGGTGCTGCCCAAAGACCAGCAGAAAAGAACAAGCTTAATAATGCAGTGATACAGTGATTAATTTTGAAGAGAACGCTCACCGTTTTGCAGAATCTTGTACTAAATGAGTATAATAATGAAAAAACTAACTTGATATCTATTGGAGGACAAGACAAGAACAGTTGTCATAGCCATAGATTAAAGAGAGAGAGAGAATGATGTAAAGATTAAAGTGATGCTAAATTGTGTGGTGCTTTCTGATGTGCTGTTTTTGTTTTGACAGATGATGAATAAGGTATTTGGAGGTACTGTGCACAAAAAAAGTGTTAGAGAAGATGGAGTGTTCAACATTACCCTGGATAACACATGTTCACTGTTCAGGTATATGATACTTTAAATAACCAGAATAATGTTGGAAATACATTCTAGAATTGATGGCTGCATGAGCAGAAGTTTTTTTTTTTTTTTTTTTTTTTTTTTTTAAGAGAACTGTGAAATTGCACCTACTCTTGTCTGTAATTTCTAATAAAACCTTTAAAGTTGGGTTCATGTATAGGCAAGTTACGTATATAATACTTGGACTTCTATGCTTAGTTGGCTAGAAATGCAGATATATTTGTTTGGAATATAATGTAAAGTCTGCATTTCAAAATAAGAAATGTTTAGTGAGATACCAGTAAGTATACTTCAGTACCTGAATCTCATTTTTAAGGAAGTTCTTGCATCATTCTGCTGTGCAGGGGGTAACTTCTGTATTTGAAAGGTAATAGAAAATCTGAAACCATCAAGAAGTCTATTAAGTCTATTAAGATCTATTTTAGAAGAACTTGTGCAACTTCCAGTGAAGAAATGTAAGCTGAAGAGATGACAGTTGCTAGGAAGGAGATTCTGCATGTTTTTAAAATGGACCTGACAGATTGGAATGCTCTTTTATTGGGAACCCTGGGGCGTCTGTTGGAAATGTATAAAGCAGTAACTGAGTTTTGGAATATACCTTCACACAAAATACATGCTTTAGCTCTAAATGAGGCAGGTGTATTGGAAGTAGATGGGTTTGGTTTTTTTGGGTATTGCTTTGCAAAATGTCATGTATATTTTTGCAATAGGAGATCATTTTTCTCACCTGTGCTTAATCTAGTAAAATTTCTTTGCTTGAAGATATTCCTATTCCAGAGTATCTGCTTCTATCATGGCTTGACAAACATGTTTTTTGGAATAGCATTTCCAAACCCTTTCTGTAGCTGGACCTTACTGCATTTTTGTCGTTGTCTCTCCCTCTGTCCGTGCTCTTGGCACTGGTGGAAAGGAGACCGGCCTAAAAAAGGAAGCGGAGCTGATTAGGTTGGGCTGTGTTCTACTTAGGGCACGTTTCACTGAAAAAATGTGTCTATCCAATTGGGAATGTGCACCCAGAGCAGGAGTCGGTCTAAACCAATACATAATTTGGTGAGAATCTTGGAAGTTGAAGAGTGCTGGGAAAATTTCATTATAGTTCGCCACTCTTAGAGGACACAGTGCAGTATTATTTAAATCTGACCACAGGTAGTTAAATGCTTGCTTTTTTATTTTTTTTCATTTATTGATGCTAGTTTTTAATTTTGTGTAGGGGCCTTCAGAAGGAAGAGCTCGTCCTCCTCACTCATGGAGACAGTGTGGATAAAGTGGCTGATGGATTCAAAGTTGTTGCGCAGTCTGGGAACATTATAGCAGGTATTTGTTTTATACTGAGACTGTTCCTTAATAGTGTTTGTTAAAGGAAAGGAGTGTGACACATGGTTCTTAATTGGAACCTAATATGAATAGAATATTTCCATTAATTATTTGCAAAATTAAGTATTTTAAACAACTTTGTTCAGTATATTTCCTGTCATGCTAGTAAGGGAAACGATGAAATTGACTTCCAAAGGACTTGTTTTATTTTAAATTAGTTGCTTAAGAAAAAACAAACTCGATTTTTATGCTTTTGTTTCAAGAAAACAAACAAAACCACCTTCAGTTACAAGGAGCATTAGTGTGAGAGCTGGATGACAAATGCAGTGTCAGTTTTTCTGAACTTCTTAGCTTTGCTAGTATTCTAACAAGCTGGAAAATGCCAGCTCGGTACTGAGTATGCAGCAGACGTATATGCTTGAGTTGATTTGGATATATATTTCACTTGCAACTGTTTTAATAATGTTCGTTTCCTTGTACCTATGAAGGTATAGCAAATGAATCTAAAAAACTTTACGGAGCACAATTCCATCCTGAAGTTAGCCTTACAGTGAATGGAAAAATGATCCTGAAGAATTTTCTTTATGATATTGCTGGCTGCAGTGGTACCTTTACCGTAGAAAATAGAGAACTTCAGTGTATCCAGGATATCAAAGAGAAAGTGGGCTCATCCAAAGTCCTGGTAAGTAGATTGAATGGAGGCTGAAAGGTTAGTTGCCAAAGTCTGACAGAAATGCTGGCACTTGCAGTTACTCTGTTAAATCTGAGAAGTGCAGAATTGTCATGATTTGGGTGATGTTTGGGTAAACAAGTGGCTTTAGAAAGCTTGTGTCCATTTGTGCGATTGGGTTGATACCTTGCTTAACTTCTCGTTTTCTTCCGTTGGTTCTAAGTCCATAGCCTGTTTTGATCCTTGTGGCATCTGAATTATAGTTAACACAGACTTCCTCCCTCCTCCTGCCTCTCCACCCTGCCTCCCGCTGCCATGATAAAAAGAGGCTGAACAAATACTGTTTTTCCCTTTTTCCCCTCGTGCTCAGGTGTTACTCAGTGGCGGTGTGGACTCCACGGTGTGTACTGCTCTCCTGAACCGTGCTTTAAACCGGGATCAGGTCATAGCTGTACACATAGATAATGGATTTATGCGTAAAAGAGAAAGCCAGTCTGTGGAAGAGGCACTCAAAAAGCTTGGAATTCAAGTTAAAGGTATCATTTTTTTTTTTGCATATGTTTGAGATCAGTAAAGGTAATATAGCCAGTCTCATAAATTGCCTATTTTTGTTTCATTGTTTTGAATGAACTTTCGCAGTTATCAGACTTGCATAGCAAGGCATAGTTGCTAACTGGGAGCAAGCTAGACCCGTTCTCAACTTTTCAAACCTAAAATATTTAGCTCAACACGTGTGATGATTGGAGCCTGTCATGAGCTGGCCCGTCTCCGTCGCTGCTGTTGGGCCGTGCAGCAGCTCAGACACCTTGGTGGTGCCTGTTCTCCTGAGGGATGAGCAGCTCCTGCCTTCGTGTGTTTTAAGAGAGTATTTTAGTTGTGTTTTTACAGTGGCTTGTTGGGAAGCAAGTCGTAACGATTTCGAGCAGTACCTTTATGAGAGAGCAGAAGGTACCTCATCTTCCCTGATGAGGCTTAGGGGGGTTTGCTGCCTGTAGTATAAGTAGGTCAGAGAAGGCAAATTACATATGTTTGGTTTGCGCAGTCAACTGTAGGAGCTTTGTTAATACTACCCAACTGATTTTTTTTTAATTATTTTTAATGAGCAATAACTGTGTATTCCTAAGGCATACTGTGAATACTGTTGTGTAGTGGCATGGGCTTTCTTGCTCTTTTGTTTTGTTTTGGTGAGGAAGCACAGTATTAGATGAGCAATGCAATCCATTAACTTGCCTGTGTGAAGCGGTGCAGACAGCTTTGGTATTGGCATCTTGCAGGTTGGACTAGAAAATCCTGCTTTTTTCCTTTTTTTTTTTTTCTTTGTTTAATGAAAAAGCTGTGCCGTATCCTTGCATTTTGTGAACTCTAAACCTAGGATGAGGCAGATTGTCAGAGTAGCAAACTGACAATCCCTTCTCTGAAAATGCCTGTCCAGTACGTCATGGATTTCAGTGCTGGTAAAAGCTGCCAAGGAGCCTTCTAGCTGATTTCTGTACTGAGAATGCCTCTAAGAGGCATAAAGTACCTTAAGTAATAGTACATTCTTTCATTTTGGTTGCAGAAAGGCTTTGGGGAGACTGAACTCTAAACTAATTGTATAAATGAAGCAAGTAAGTTTTATAATCTATGAAGGGAAACAACGGAACTTTCCTCCTGTTACTTACCCTCATATAGAGCAATTATTTTTCATGTTAAAGTAGGTTAATAAGAGAAAATAGTACTTTTGTTGCAAATGATTCCTGCGTTATTGAGCAGGCCAATCAAATGCAGCTGATAAAATCCTTTAAGTTGTTTAACTTAAAACAACAGAGTAAAACTGATTTTTCACAGTCTTGCTTGAAAAACTCTATTGACTTTGCCAACAAATTCCTGTAATCTCATGCAGTGGTAAACGCAGCCCATTCATTCTATAATGGTACAACAACTCTGCCCATCTCTGACGAGGACAGAACTCCACGTAAAAGGATTAGCAAGACCTTAAATATGACTACAAGTCCTGAAGAAAAGAGAAAAATTATTGGTGACACCTTTGTTAAGGTAATGACGCTCATAATTCTTTCATTTTTTTTAAAGTGGTACAATTTCTAGATATATTTCGTAGCTCAGGCTGTTTCACTCCCAGAGCACTGTGTGCTCAGTGACATCAGTGGGTCATATGCATTGTAGAGGACATATAATGATATAACATTAAAAACATATTACTAGATTCAGTGTCGCAGTTAGATACAACACAGTGACTGGTGATTACATTCAGTTGCATAACCTTTCAAGTAAACCAAGAATACCAAAGATACTGTTTTAATTTCCTATTCAGCAAATTATGGGAATTTAGGTATCTCTCAGGGATTAGGCTACTGTTATTCCACTGCTTATGTTATTAGATATATTACACTGATGAATCTTCCTTGTTTGTTGCTCATGCTTTTAATGCAGAGGTTTCTGTGGTTCAATTGCATTTTTGGTGCAATTTGTAAACTTCCCTCAGGCTTCTTATAATTAAAAAAGTAAATCAGAACTTTTCTGTTTTCTCTGCATCTTACAGATTGCCAATGAAGTTATTGGGGAAATGAATCTGAAACCTGAAGAGGTTTTTCTTGCTCAGGGTACCCTCAGACCTGATCTCATTGAAAGTGCTTCCCTTGTTGCGAGTGGCAAAGCCGAAGTCATCAAAACTCATCATAATGATACAGAGCTGATCAGAAAGCTACGAGAAGAGGTAACTGAAAATGAGGATACTGACTGTATCCTTCTGGTCTGACAAATGCAAAGCGGATTGTGGAAACTTTTCGCTAGCTATCCCATCTTGATGGGACCCTATTCTGAGGAGGCCCTTTAGATTCTGCTGTAATGCAAGTTTTAAGTTATTCCACTTATTCCTGGTTGCTAGGTGTAAGCAGCAGTCAATTATTTGAGTTACTAGGGAAAAATGTCAACAGATCAAGACTAGATTCATTTAAGACAAAAACTTTCCTTACTCTTCTATCTCTTAAACACATACACACTATTCCAATACGCAAAAGCAATATCAAATGTCTTAAGTAGAAAACTACTTTAAGATTTTTCAGGCAACTTTAGTCTGGTTCACTTTGAATTTGTTATTATAGATCATTTTTATTCCTTCTGTTTATATTTTGTTCTGAAGATTAGTTTAGGGTAACCTCTTCTGATACTGATAGTCCAGATCTGGCACAGTACTGAATCAGGCAAGAGCAGTGACAGTGCTTTAGGAAAATGATAATCCACTTGTGTTGAGTGAGAGCACTGAAATAATCTTTTTCTTGTAGTAGTAGTCAGCATTTTGATAGTAGCATTCTACTCTCTTGAGATGAAATGAGAAGAATGTTTTTAATTGGGCTGAATTGTAGGGACGGTTCCTTCAGACACCTGCAGAGATTGCCTCCCTGGGCTTGGGCAGCCTCTGCATGAAGTTACTGGTTAACCATGCTGGTAACTGATCCGGTTACAAAAACCAGGACTCCCTGGTGGCACACAGTGTGCTTACCAGTTTTGTTTTAAGAACTGGTGTGTCTTTTTGAATGGCCCAACATGGACATCTGTGGGCGAAGACCAGCAGGTTGAAGATGATACAAACTTGGCGAGCTGAGCTGGTGGCAGAAGAAATCACTCTGAATGCCATTGGGTGCAGAGGTCTTAAGAATTAGCACGTGATGCAAGTGTAGGAGATTGACCAATTTTGCCTCTTCTAACATTAAAACGGTAAGTTCTTTAGCTGTATTTTGAAAAAGTCTAAGAAAGAACCAATATATGAACTGTTACATAATGCCCTGTTGGAAGGTGACCTCGATTTTCAGTGAGTGACAAATAAACAATAAACCACAGAGCAGAAAGTAACTGTTAAAGGTGCACACTTCTAATATTCATCACTGTATAAGGTGTTTTCAGGGTTTTTAATTGGCTTGATGTCTAGTGAAAAGAAGAAAGGGCTGAATTTCTGATGATAATCCCAGCTAGCCTCGCTTACAGCTGTGCTCACACTGCTTGAGCCACTTGTACTTGTGGCACAAGCTTCTGTGTCCTTCTCTCGTCTGTCTGTCTATCTACACCATCCTCTTGCTGTTTTACAAGCTTGCATTCACATGGCCTTTTCTTTCTAGTGATTCTGCAAGTGTTGGCAGTTGATGCTATAAAAAGCAGGCCAATTTGACTGATTTAAACTAAGTGCTTGAGGCTTAACGAGATTTTTTTTTTTTTAGGGTAAAGTAATAGAACCGTTGAAAGACTTCCACAAAGATGAAGTGCGAGTGCTAGGGAGAGAACTGGGTCTTCCTGAGGAGCTGGTTTCAAGACATCCCTTCCCAGGTATGGGAGGGCAGTGTATGCCCTTCAGTGAAAGATTATAGATGACATTAGTATTGCTTGGAGATACTTAACCTTCAGAACACATTTCTTTTAAATCATAAATACATTTGTCTGTAAAACATGAAACAAAATTTGTGGATTTATGAAGGTTTAACCTAAGCAGAATATTTTTTCAGGAAAAGAGGTTTACTTGTGAGCAGCTGTATTACTTAAAACTTTTTAAAAAATCACTTTATAATTGAATTTCCTCTATTTCTTTCTTTAGTTGTATAAGCTAAAACAAGATTTAATAGTGAAGTTCAGCTGAGTATTGTCTCAGTTGTTAAATGCATCTTATTTCAAATACTGGCCTGTCATTCTAAGGCAGCAATTGCTGTTTTC